GGGCCAGAGTGAAGAGAGAGGGGGGCAGGGGACAGTCCCATGTTGTCCCCTTCATATTTCATCAGTTGGGGGCCCCTCCCCACAGCACTAACTACCACTATGGGCCATAGCAAAGAGAGAGGGGGCCGGGGGACAGTTCCATCTTGTCTCCTTCATATTTCATGGCCAAGTCAAGCACAGCTGGATGCCGAATATGAAATGAGGGAAACATTACCTCTGTTTAGGTACTGTCTGTCATTGTTGTTAATTGTATAATGGTATTGAATGTTTGCCATAGATGTACCTGTAACCCACTTTCAGTCCCCTTCGAGAGATACAGCAGAATATAAATAAAATATTATTATTATTATTATTATTATTATTATTATTATTATTATTATTATGTCCACTCTTAACCTTTTCTTTTCCAGGCTAAATGCACCTAGCTCCCTACGCTACTCATCATAGGGCTTGGCTTCTAGTCAGGCTGTGTTTCACTGATGAAAACTGAAAAACAAGGTTGTATTTTAGTAGGTATGTTACTAACTCACAGCTTCAGGTGTCACTGAACATCTAAACCCACTCAATCTTCCAACTGTATTCAAATAAACAAGCAGGGAAGATACTACCTGCTGTCTTCTGGTTTTAATTTCTGAGCTGCCTGCTTGGACAACTTAATCTGTAAATCCAGTCTGTGTAGAAAATCTTTGGCAGATAACTCTTCGGGTGGAGGAGGCAGACTGTCAGTTTCTGGAGGACTGGGTGAAGAGTTGTCTTCTTGAACTGTCACTGGACCTTCTTCACAAGACGACAGGCTGTCAGATTCATTCTCAGGAGACTCCAGTGCATTAAGTCCATTAAATAGCAATGGCTTCTCAGATATAACAGGGATATTCAATGTTTTCTTCAGATACATACAGTCATTTGTAAACAGTTTATTTGCCCTTTTTATTTGTTCCATCTGAAACAGAAAAAAAAAACAAATACTGTTTGCTGATTCAAGTCAGTCAAACGTGAGAATAGAACATAGATTCCCACAAACACTTTCCTGGCATGTGTTTGTTACTTCGATATATTTCAATTATATTAATTTAATTCTTTTGCTGCCCCTTCTTAGGGATTCTAAAACATTACCAGCTTTCCACACACCAACTAGGAGTATATTGTATACAGAAAAATAAAAGATATTGAATTTTTCTTTCCACCAGAGGAAACTGCAGGCATTTTTGCACATTTTTTGTTTTTAATTTTGGGCCTTCCCTGCAAAGATTTCATAACTTTTTGCACAAAACCTTTTTAAAGAAAAAAAAATCCTTATTTTTGACATAAGGTAAAGGTTTTCCCCTGACAATAAGTCTAGTTGTGTCTGACTCTGGAGGTTGGTGCTTATCCCCATTTCTAAGCCGAAGAGCTGGCGTTGTCCACAGAAACCTCCAAGGTCATGTGGCCAGCAAGACTGCATGGAGCACCGTTACCTTCCCACCGAAGTGGTCCTATTGATCTACTCACATTTGCATGTTTGCAAACTGCTAGGTTGGCAGAAGTTGGACCTAACAGCAGGAGCTCACCCTACTCCCCGGATTCAAACCGCTGACCTTTTGGTCAGCAAGTTCAGCAGCTCAGCGGTTTAACCTAATGCACCACCGCAGCATCTATTTTTGACATAGCATAGATAAAATAGAAAACACTCTACCAAGCTGTTATAAAAAAGAGGCTCATATGTTTTTTTGGAAACCCCCCTATCCTCAAAATCTGAAAATTCTCATAGCTTTTAATCAAGAAAATTCATACATTATTATTATTGTTGATGTTGTTGTTATTATTATTATTAAACCACTTTGAGTCCCCCCAGGGGTGAGAAAGGCAGTCTATAAATATTGTAAATAAATAAAATAAATAAATTACATATACAAGTCATCTGCTGAACAGTTTTATGTAAATATTCGAAAACATTTACCTAACTGATGCCTCAATTAATGTAATTTTATTGGTATCTATTTTTATTTTGAAATTTACCACTAACAGTAGTTGCTGCATTTTCCACCCTCGGCTTATATCCGAGTCAATCAATTTTCCCAGTTTTTTGTGATAAAATAAGGTGCCTCGGCTGATATTCAGTTCGGCATATACTCGAGTATATACGGTATTTATTTGTAAGTCACCCCAAGTCCTTTTGGGGAGATGAGGTGGAGTATAAATAAAGATGGTGATAATGATGATGATTATTATTATGTTTATATCCTGCCTTCTCTCTCCATACAAAGACTCAAAGCGACCTTTTAGTCAGCAAGTTCAGCTGCTCAGTGGTTTAACCCACTGCGTCACCAAGGGCTCCCATTTCTAACTAAGGCAATTAAAATTACCATTGTCTATTTTCTCTCCCCCCCCCCCCCATTTGATTTTCCATGGGCTCAGCATTAAATCGGTATTTTTGTTGTTTATTACTGTTTACTATTTATTAACTTCGAAGACACAAATATATTTCATCTAAAGCTGTGCAGTACCTACTTATAAACACAATATTTTCTCTAAGGCAGTGTTTCTCAACCTGGGGGTCGGGACCCCTGGAGGGGTCGTGAGGGGGTGTCAGAGGTGTCACCAAAGACCACCAGAAAACACAGTATTTTCTGTTGGTCATGAAGGTTCTGTGTGGGAAGTTTGGCCCAATTCAATTGTTGGTAGGGTTCAGAATGCTCTTTGTTTGTAGATGAACTATAAATCCTAGCAACTACAACTCCCAAATGTCAAGGTCTATTTTCCCCAAACCCCACATTTGGGCATATTGAGTATTTGTGCCAAGTTTGGTCCAGATCCATCATTGTTTGAGTCCACAGTGCTCTCTGGATGTAGGTGAACTACAACTCCAAAACTCAAGGTCAATGCCCACCCAACCCTTCCAGTATTTTCTGTTGGTCATGGGAGTTCTGTGTGCCAAGTTTGGTTCAATTCCATTGTTGGTGGAGTTCAGAATGCTCTTTGATTGTAGGTGAACTATAAATCCCAGCAATTACAACTCCCACAGGACAAAATCAATACCCTCCCCTAATCCCACCAGTATTCAAATTTGGGTGTATTGGGTATTTGTGCCAAATTTGGTCCTGTGTATGAAAATACATTCTGCACATCAGATATAAATAATAATAATAATAATAATAATAATAAACAACTTTATTTATACTCCATCCCCCCAAGTAGATTCAGGACGGCGTACATAAGGCCACACCCATCAATACAGTAAACACAATATAAACACAAAGAACACAACAGATAATCAAAAAATAAATTACATAAAATGCAAAACCATATTTGCATTACTATTCATAACAGCAAGAAAATGACAGTTATGAAGTAGCAATGAAAATAATTTTATGGTTGGGGGTCACCATAACATGAGGAAGCGTATTAAGGGGTCGTGGCATTAGGAAGGTTGAGAACCAATGCTCTAAGGCATTTTTTTCCACAATGGGCTAGCGAGACGATGTCAGGACAGCTTAATAAATAATGCACTTAAAGCTATTGTATAACCCAGGCTCTTGTTCCATTCTGTCCCTCTATAATATGGTTTAAGCCCTTAGACATAAAACTCCAGATACATACAAATGTCTTCTTGGTTTCCAGGCCTACATCTGACTTCTATTTGTCTATGACACTAAAGTCTGCCTTCTGTCATTTTGTGTCAGCCAACACAAATTCAATCAAAAAAGCCAGACCCAAAACAGACCTCTGTTAATTTTTTGTTACTAAGTGACAAACCTTTGTTTAACTTGATCCTATATATAACCAGAATGTTGCTTTCTTTGAACTCTTCACCCAAATAATGCAATTGCCTTTGATTCCAAACGGTTTCCCATGAAACAAAAGGTAAACAAGCACTCTTCTACCTAGATGAAATGTTCTCTTCACTTTGCACTTTCAACACATGTTTTCCAGGACAAGTTTCCTCACATCATTTGCACTTTGCACTCTGTACATTTTCTCAATCCTTGTTTCCACTTTGTGTGTGTACTCAGTCCTCATTTGTGTTCCGTACATATTCACACATCATTTGCAATCTGTACACATTAATGTGCAGTTCTGTACATACTCAAGCTTCTCAATGTGCACCGAAGTATCCTCATTTGCACTGTGTACGTGTTCACGCACCATCATTAGCACACCAGCATTCTCATTTGTGCTCTGTACACGCTCAGGAACTTTACATGCTCTCAGTTCTCGCTTGCACTCTGCACATCCTCTCCCTCCTCACTTGAACTCTGTACATGCTCAGGCACCCTCATTTGTAGTTTGTACATGATCTCCCTCCTTGCTTGCACTCTGCACATGCTCTCCATCCTCACTTGAACTCTGTACATGCTCAGGCACCCTCGTTTGAACTCTATATATAGTCTCCCTCCTTGTTCTCAATCTGTACATGCTCAGGAACCTTCATTTGCAGTCTGCACATGCTCTCCCTCCTCACTTCCACTCAGTGCATGCTCTCCATCCTAATTTGCACTCTGTACATGCTCAAGCACCCTCATTTGCACTCTATACATGGTCTCCCTCCTTGTTTGCACTCTGTACATGCTCAGGCCCCCTCATTTGCACTCTGTACATCTCTCCCTCCTTGTTCGCACTCTGCACATGCTCAGCCCCCCTCATTTGCACTCTGTACATGGTCTCCCTCCTTGTTTGCACTCTGTACATGCTCAGGCCCCCTCATTTGCACTCTGTACATCTCTCCCTCTTGGTTCGCACTCTGTACATGCTCAGGCTCTCTCATCTGCACTCTGTACATGCTCTCCCTCCTTCTTTGCATTCTGTACATCCTCAGGCCCACTTGTTTGCACTCTACGTACTCTTAGCCCTCGCTTGCACTCTGCACGTGCTCAGGCCCCCTCATCTGCACTCTGCACATGCTCTCCGTCCTTGGTCACACTCTGCACATTCTCAGGCCCCCTCATCTGCACTCTGTACATGCTCTCCCTCTTTGTTCTCACTTCATACATGCTCAGGGTCCCTCATTTGTACTCTATACAGGCTCTTAGTTCTTGCCTGCACTCTGCACATGCTCAGGCAACCCTCCTTTGCAGTCTGCACATGCTCTCCCTCCTCGCTTCCACTCAGGGCATGCTCTCCATCCTCATCTGCACTCTGTACATGCTCACCCTCCTTGTTCGCACTCTGTACATGCTCAGGCCCTCTCATTTGCACTCTACATGCTCTTAGCCCTCGCTTGCACTCTCTACATGCTCTCCCTCCTTGTTCGCACTCTGCACATGCTCAGGCAACCCTCCTTTGCAGTCTGCACATGCTCTCCCTCCTCGCTTCCTCTCAGGGCATGCTCTCCACCCTCATTTGCACTCTGTACATGCTCTCCCTCCTTGTTCACACTCTGTACATGCTCAGGCCCCCTCACCTGCACTCTACATGTTCTCAGTCCTCGCTTGCACTCTGCACATGCTCTCCCTCCTGGTTTGTCTATGCCCTCCTTCCCTCCCGTACTGACCGTGACGCCGTAGTGGAGGGCGAGGCCCTGGAGGGTGTCTCCGGGGCGGAGGCGGTGCGGGCGGAGGCGGTGGGCGAGGGGGGCGCAGGCGGAGGCGGTGCTGCCGTAGGAGCGGGCCTTCACGCGGGCCAGGCCCAGGGAGAGCTCCGCCTCACTCTCGCCGCCCTCGGCACCCGGCAGCCGCTCCTCCCGCAGCCTCAGCCCCGCCGCCGGAACCGGCTCCGCCATGCCGCTCAAGGGAAGCGCATCCTCCGCCTGGGAAGAGCGGGAAAGGCCGGAGGGCGCCTCAGGTGAAAAGGCCCCACTCGGCCAGAATGTCAGCCCATCTGCGCCTGCGCGGACGGCTCGCGCATGCGCAGCCCGCTCACACTGCCTGAGGGTTTGTTGTGAGGACAAGACCAGGCCCAAGCCTTTTGCAGAGTGTGTGGAAGCTTATGAAGCAGGCTTGGGCCAACTTGGGCCTTCTAAATGTTTTGGACTTCAACTCCCATCATTCCTAACAGCCTCAGGCCCAAGTTAAACATGAGCCAATGGGATTTTGGCCAGCATCAATAGGAGGAAGTCATGCTCCCCATGCTCTACTCTGCCTTGGTCAGACCACACCTGGAATACAGTGTCCAATTCTGGGCACCACAATTAAAGAGAGATATTGACAAGCTGGAATGTGTCCAGAGGAGGGCGACTAAAATGATCAAGGGTCTGGAGAACAAGCCCTATGAGGAGCGGCTTAAAGAGCTGGGCATGTTTAGCCTGAAGAAGAGAAGGCAGAGAGGAGACATGATAGCCTATGTATAAATATGTGAGAGTTGACAAGCTGGAATGTGTCCAGAGGAGGGAGACTCAAATGATCAAGAGTCTGAGGAACAAACCCTATGTAGAGCGGCTTAAAGAGCTGGGCATGTTTAGCCTGCAAAAAAGAAGGCTGAGGGGAGGCATGATAGCAATGTATAAATACGTCAAAGGAAGTCATAGGGAGGAGGAAGCAAGCTTGTGTTCTGCTGCCCTGGAGACTAGGACGCAATGGAACAATGGCTTCAAACTAAAGGGTCTGCAGAACAAGCCCTATGAGGAGTGGCTCAAAGAGCTGGGCATGTTTAGCCTGCAAAAAAGAAGGCTGAAGGGAGACATGATAGCCATGTATAAATACGTCAGAGGAAGTCATAGGGAGGAGGGAGCAAGCTTGTTTTCTGCTGCCCTGGAGACTAGGACGCAATGGAATAATGGCTTCAAACTAAACGATCAAAGGTCTGGAGAACAAGCTCTATGAGGAGCGGCTTAAAGAGCTGGGCATGTTTAGCCTGCAGAAGAGAAGGCTGAGAAGAGACATGAGTGCCATGTATAAATATGTGAGAAGAAGTCAGGGAGGACGGAGGAAGCTTGTTTTCTGCTGCCCTGGAGATGAGGACGCAATGGAACAATGGCTTCAAACTAAATGACCAAGGGTCTGGAGAACAAGCCCTATGAGGAGCGGCTTAAAGAGCTGGGCATGTTTAGCCTGAAGAAGAGAAGGCTGAGAGAAGACATGATAGCCTTTTTTTTTTTTTGTCGTGTCAGGAGTGACTCCTGGTGTGAGAGAATTGGCCGTCTGCAAGGACGTTGCCCAGGGGAGACCTGGATGATTGATGTACATATCATCCTTGTGGGATATCATCCTTGTGGGAGGCTTCTCTCATGTCCCCGCATGAGGCGCTGGAGCTGATAGAGGGAGCTCACCCGCCTCTCCCCGGATTCGAACCTGTGACCTGTTGATCTTCAATCCTGCCGGCACAGGGGTTTAACCCACTGCGCCACTGGGGGCGCCTATGATAGCCATGTATAAGTATGAGAAAGGAAGTCATAGGGAGGAGGGAGCAAGCTTGTTTTCTGCTGCCCTGGAGACTAGGATGTGGAACAATGGCTTCAAACTACAAGAAAGGAGATTCCATCTGAACATTAGGAAGAACTTCCTCACTGTGAGAGCTGTTTAGCAGAGGAACTAAAACACAGACATGTGGTTTTCATCGAAAGAACACACAAGCATCCCGAGCTCTGAGGATTACTTGGGAAGGAATCCCACTGGAGCATTGCAGCACACCCAAATACCTGGGAGTCACTCTGGACCGTGCTCTGACCTACAAGAAACACCTGCCTGAATATCAAGCAAAAAGTGGGCGCTAGAAACAATATCATACGAAAGCTGACTGGCACAACCTGGGGATCACAACCAGATACAGTGAAGACATCTGCCCTTGCGCTATGCTACTCTGCTGCTGAATATGCATGTCCAGTGTGGAACACATCTCACCACACTAAAACAGTGGATGTGTGGCTCTTAATGAGACATGCCACATTATCACGGGGTGTCTGTGCCCTACACCACTGGAGAAATTACACTGTTTAGCCAGTATTGCACCACCTGACATCTGCCAGGGAGTAACAACCAATAATGAAAGGACCAAGCCAGTGGCATTTCCGGCCCACCCCGTTTGGGTATCAGCCAGCATGTCAACAACTTAAATCAAGAAATAATTTTCTAAGATGTACAGAGACACTCGCTGGAACACCCCAGCAAGCGAGAGTCCAAAAGTGGCAGGCTCAAACCCAGAACCTCAATCAGTGGCTGATACCAAATGAGAGACTCCCATTTGGGCACACAGAAGACTGGGTGATTTGGAAGGTGCTGAACAGACTGTGCTCTGGCACCACGAGATGCAGAGCCAACCTTCAGAAATGGGGCCACAAAGTGGAATCCACGACATGCGAGTGTGGAGAAGAGCAAACCACTGACCACCTGCTGCAATGCAACCTGAGCCCTGCCACATGCACAATGGAGGACCTCCTTGCGGCAACACCAGAGGCACTCCAAGTGGCCAGCTACTGGTCAAAGGACATTGAATAGAATACCAAGTCTGCAAACTTTGTTTTTTGTTTGTTTTTAATGCAATACAACTGTTTTGTTCGCTCCTGACACGATAAACAAATAGAGCTGTTCAGCAGTGGAACTCTCTGCCCCGGAGTGTGGTAGAGGCTCCTTCTTTGGAAGCTTTTAAACAGGGGCTGGATGGCCATCTGACGGGGGTGCTTTGAATGCAAATTTCCTGCTTCTTGGCAGCGGGTTGGACATGATGGCCCATGAGATCTCTTCCAACTCTATGATTCTACTTTCAAAACACCTGGAAGGCCCAAGTTTTCATTGCACCTTCTTAGTGGTCTGCCCCCTCTTTAATGGACAGCCCTCTGCCTCCATCTTGTGGCCTGGTGGGAAAATACATCACTTTGTTCTATTTTTCATTTTGAAAAGGAGAAAAAGGAAACAAGGAAGGAAAGAGAAAGGCAGGATGGATGGAAGGAAGACACAAGGAAGGAGCCAAAAAATAGGAAGGAATCATTACAAGGAAGGAAGGAGAAAAGGAAATAAGGAAGGAAAGAGAAAGGCAGGATGGACGGAATGATCCTGGGGAAAATGGAAGGAAAAAGAAAGAGGGCAAGGGAAAGATGGATGGATGGTATCTTTGAAGTGACTGGCTTGACTCTGAAGGAGATCTTGGGGGTGGTGATGGCTGACGGGGAGCTCTGGCGTGGGCTGGTCCATGAAGTCACGAAAAGTTGGAAGCAACTGAATGAATAAACAACAAAATATTTAATCCTCTTTTAACGTTTGAGTATTGTATATTTTAAATCAGGGGTCCTCAAACTAAGGCCTGGGGGGCGGATACAGCCTTCCAAGGTCATTTACCCAGCCCTCACTGAGGGTCAACCTAAGTCTGAAACGACTTGAAAGGACACAACAACAACAATCCTATCTCATCAGCCAAAAGCAAGCCCACACTTCCCATTGAAATACTAATAAGTTTATATATTTGTTAAAATTGTTCTTCATTTTAATTATTGTATTGTTTTTAAGTGTTGATGTGTGCAGTGTGCATAGAAATTCATTCATGTTTTTTGCAAATTGTAATCCGGCTCTCCAACAGTTTGAGAGCCTGTGACCTGGCCCTCTGTTTAAAAGTTTGTGGACCCCTGTTTTAAATGGTTATGCTGGTGCTTTTATGTTAAGCCGCTTTGAGTCCCCTTCAGATGAGATAAAGCAGGGTATAAATATAATCATGACTTTGGAGGTCTCTCATCCATGGGATCCCATAAATCGAAGTCAACCTGATGGCAATTAACAACAACAACAACAACAAGAAGAGATAAAAGTAGATCAAATTGTACTTAAGAGGAAGGGGATAAAGGAAGTTACAAGGCAGAGTTAAGCAACAATGCAGACTGTTACAAAGTGTGGCCCAGAAGTGCACAGAATACCCATTGTATGGTTCAGTGTATCACAGTAATAAATTGCCATACAGTAAAAAGCAGCTCAGGTGGCACAGTAGATCCACCACATGCAAATACAGCATCATATACAGTGGTTACAATTATAATTACAACCTCCTTGGCATTAGAGAGTCCTGATAAAGCAAGAATCATCCAACGCAACATCTGGGTTCATGTGGTTAAACTTCTCTAGCCTTGTGAAAGAAGCCATGGTACCTGTGTCAAAGCCTAATCTCCAGGAGGCCACATCTATAGGCCATCGGAAGCTACCTTGTACCAAGCAGATGGCAAGTCTGTTGGTATTAAATATTGCCCATATTAAACGGCCTTCCATGATTTTGGTTAGGAGTATTTTCCATCTCTCTCCGTAAGCACCATGGAATAAATGTGGGTCCTTCTGCAAAGTCAGGTTTCTCTGGTTTTGAGAGAGCAAAATCGCACAAATGGGCCTCAGCTTGTTGGCAACAGCATGGAAGGCCTAACTCATAGGTTACTCACATCCCGGAAAAGTTACTTCTTTGGACTATAGATTCCCAACCACTCAAAGTGCCGACTGGGGCATTCTCTGTCTTATAGAGAAAATGCAATTTCACTTCTGGGATCTGATAATACTGTATTATCAGTGTTAAAAGCAATGTCCTCACATGTAATATCTCATACATTACCAGTGTCAGGGTCGACCATGCCATGTATGGTTGTGAAAGCTGACAGTGAAGAAAGCTAATACGAGGAGAAGCAACTCATTTGAAATGTGGCACTATAGGAGTTTTATGTATACTCTATATGTTACATACTTGTGTGGTAGGCATTTCAAAGGGATATCTCTAGAACAAATATGAAGGCATTGTAGTCCCCTATAAGAAACCTGCTGCCATCTAAATGACATTTTCCTTTAGCTCCAAAATGTCTAGCATTGCTGGAATGAGACATACATAGAACATTTATATTTACTGGGCTGGCATTCTCTGGATCGCTTCACCTGTTCCTTTTTGTAGGATGGCTTTTTCTAAATCTCTCTGCATGACTTCCTTGGATCTAGGCACCATAAATAGGA